AAAAAAGGAAATTCGAAGCAATACAATTCTTAACTACTTACCATCACAGATCAATATACTGAATAATAATATTTAAGCGAAATATAGTTATATGAAAGGTTATACACTGACTCGTCATATAAGTATAAGAATTGAATATTAACCTTTTTTGTTCATTAATATCGAATAAGTTAGTCATTTTGTTTTCAGTTGTTTTCAGTGATTTCTAACATGGTTAAGATTATGTCATTTTCCAATGTAATATATATATATATATATATATATATATATATTGAATGACAGAATCGTCTGAAGTTGTCTGTAACGTTTTCACTGTTCACTAAAAGTATCATACCCAGCATTCTTTTTCACTTTTCTTTGCATTTAATGGATAAGTACTGTATATTAGAGTGTAATTTTTATTTCAGATATCATTTCAGCCAATTGAAGTTCTCTGAAACTGGGTTCAATGAAAATATCAGTGTAGCACAGCTGGAAATGTCGAATGAAAAACAGAAATATTACTGAAAATTAGTGCTTGAAAAGTGAAAAGTACACTACAATATAAAGCGCCTAATCGCTAAATAAATGGAGAAATAACCAAAATTTCTAGATACCACTTTAACCCAGTTCCTCTATCAGGCACATGAAGCAGAAGTATTCTTCCATGATGTAGGCAACTTCAGTGACAACGTCCTCATTTCTCTAACAGTAATCATGGTCACCTTATATTTGGCTAACTAATAATGCTCATCCGATTTTATCAGTAATAACTGCTTACGTCTGAACATAAGTGACCCTAACGGTAACAACCTCTCGCTAGTAAACACATATAATTATCACTGAAGCTAAGCAGTTTATGTAAATTATTCATTTCTCTTAATTTACTTTTCCCCATAGACTAATATCCATTGAATGTATGTATGTTCTCATTTTGAAAATACAATTTATTTCTCACTGTTTCTTTCTAATATCCATAAACAAGACTGATATTAAATAATGAATAGCAATTTTTAAACAAACGGTAAATATCAAATAAATGAATAATTGATTTGTTGTTTTGGTCAGTCGTTTTTTCCCTTCACTTGAGATTATCTTCCAAAATACTAACTAATGAGATAAACGAAAGATGAATAAATGAGTTGAGAAAAAAACGAGTGGGAATAAGAACACAAATTAGAGAACAAACTCTCAAAGAGACGGATGATCCAATTAGCAGTTAATCATTTTGGTTCATCTTAAATAAATACGTGAAAATTAGCATATTTTACATCAGCTAGTATGCAAAACTACTTAGCTGCTAAACAACGTTGAATGATGGTTATCAGTGCAATAGGAAACACGCGTTTCGCTCTATTACAGACTCATCAGCTGAATTCACACTTGCATTTCAACATCGATTTCCATTAGGGTGGTTCGAACGCAGTTCCCTTCGATTCAAAAACCCAACACATTAACCGCTAACTTAATACGTCCAGATAGCCAGTGGCTTGTGCTACAAAGGTGAATTTCGTTTCATTTGTAAGTATTAGCTTGTATACATTTGGATGATTCAGTGAGAAGACAAATTATACCACAGAACTAATGTGATATAATAGCGCAATGCATTTTGAACAACAATACTATCATTCATCTACTTGCTAATATATTTATAATATGAGAAGTAATGACCACATTAGACAAATCTGAACATAAGAGACCAATAATAATACCCTGAAGAGGTCTAGACAAGTTAGCTGGACGAAACGTTGAAATTATTTAAAACCCAATCGCTGAGATTATTCCAAATATAATTTTGACAGAAAATAATGAGCATAGTAATAATAATAAAATAAGTAAAAAATATAAATCGCACTGTTCTGAATAATAATAAATCAATATTTTCAAGATAAACTCAGAGTGAGAAAAAACTGTTTTGGAGTATGCAAAATAGGTTTGAATCGTCATAATGGCTAATGCTTCAGTAAATATTAGTATTTACCCATCGGCATTTCTATACTATTACTAAAAAGGCTAATTTGATAACAACCCTATCGTCTCCATCTCAAATAAATGTTTGGCAATCGATGATGTTTGTTTATTACGTACTTTAATTTAAGTATAAGAATTCATTTGTTTTTGTAGTCATTTAAGTATGTATTCAACCACTCTAACAAGCAAATGATTACCTCTCCTCCTAATGTTTGTATGCCAATAAATCTACATTTGTAATAGTTAGAAACATGATTTAATTTTTTCATAAAAAGGTAAAATATAGCATCAGACGTTATTCTCGGACAATACGTTCGTATAACTACACTTGAAGCCTTTTTGGATCTAATACTGGACGTAACCCTTGGTGAAGGAGTAGGGCTGGGTGTAATGCTAGTAATTCCACCTAAAAATATAACCTCACTACAAAAATGATAATCAAAATTTATGACGTGACATGATGAAATCTGAGATTTTCGTAAGCCACAATCCCGATGCCACTTATAATAACCAGGGCAACAATTAATATATGTATAATGAATGTCCGGATGATGTGGAAGACAAGGAGAGACATTCGAATAGCGGCCTAAGTGAGAACATACAATGATGTGAATAGAAAATAAAGGAGCCATGACGAACAACGGGAGATACTTTTTGGACATTATTTCACACAATTCAACGTTTCTTAACTACTAAAAATTAGTTTTTTCCCTAGATTATTCTATAAACCACAGGCTTTCGTTTGATGCTTGATTCACTGACATAGCCTTTTCTATTCCAAAGCTATTGTGATTTAAACGTAACCTCTTGTACTCTAAATTTCTACCGTGATGCTTAGTTCGAACATAATTGTTTGTGCGTTGTGGTTTTGTTGGTCATCTATTTATTCATACATCTTTTTTCATCGATCTGAATCATGAAGAAAACGAGTGGGGATCCCGTTTTCTGGTCTTCTATTTCCCACTTGTCAACCAATCAGGTGATAGAATATTTTCTTGTTTCTATTCCTAAAACCGTTAGTTTCAATTCGGACTAATGGATTTCCAGACTTAAGTTTGAACCAGTTAGCCTATAATATCAAAGCCTTAACATGGATCAAGACTAGTTCTCTCCAGTATATTATTGGGTAAACAGATCTGATATGATGGAAAGAAAAGTCAATTTTCGATTGAATTACTCATTACAAGTTTTATTCAACATTACATCCGTTTTAATTCAACGTGATGATCATTCAGTGTAGTATTTGATATGTTTTCCCAGTATGATATTTTCTTCTGTATAATATACGATATTCTTGTATTCAGTTGACATGAACTAAGTGATTTGTTACAACTGAGTATGTGATTTAATCCTAATTATTAATCAAAATGGGTGTACAATCAATATATAAACCAGTGTATTTTAGACTATTGTTATTCATCATCGTCATCACTTATACCAGTTTTTGTGCTCTTACTTTCGCATTACGGGAGTTGCAGAGGTCCCTCATTCCGAGTATAAGTGATCAGTGTATTTTCCGGCACAACAGTCAGCGACGACCAGATATAACAAGATCAAGGACGTAGCAGTGTTTGAAATGAGTGGAACCCATTGTACACAGTCTAGGGAAGAAAAACAAACTTAAAGAGAAGTGTCATTGTATTCTGATGATGAAGAAGAAAATGACTCCCAAAAATACGCGCGGAGTGGCGCTGTTGTTCAAAGAATCGCTGAAGCGCTTAGAGGATGGTAAACCTATTGCTCCAGGGTTATCAAAGCATCCTTAAAAAAGATAATAATGAATGTCATCCAGTGCTATGCAACCATTAATGATAGAAACAGAGATAACAACTATCAGTTTCATGAAAGGCTATAGTCCGTTCTAGACAAATGCTCAGAGAAACACCAATTCATCCTGACGGGGTATGTGAACGCCAAAGTTCGGGTGGACAATACTTGTTATAAACGCAACATGGAGCGAAATGGACGAGAATGATGAACGATTGGTAGATCTGCGTGTTTTCAATAACAAGGTTGTAGGTGGCACCACATTCCTTCACAAACGCATGCACAAAGATACATGGGTTTCACACTACAAGAAACAATATCGACCAGATCGGGATGAATATAAAAATCAGAAAGTCCATATAGCTTGACGTCACCAGCTGGCAATGGTCAAGCTAAAACTGAAGTTAATGAAGCACTTGATAGTAAGACAAGTAGGACAATAACATTTTATTACAGCCGTTCTTTAAAATGCCAACAAGCTCACCGAGTTCAAGATAGATCTCAGCAATAAGTTGCAAGCCTTAAAAGACCTACTTAAAGAAGAAACCAATATGGAGATCAACTGCAAAAGGGTTAAGAAAGCAATAACTTTAACATCTCAGATGCTGGGCCCAAAGTCTCCGGAAAAATGACAGATCCATGTATATAGCCTGGATAAAAATTACTTCCTAATCATTTTCACAATAAATAATTTATTATTTTCATCTCTGATAACCTGAAAAGCATGCAAACATTTCTCAGGATCATTTTAAAAGACGTTGAAAATTTTTATTTTGGCCGTTGGTATATGGTAGTTAACTACAACAAATCTGTCACCCGACTTTGCATAAAAAATGTCTTAATTTTATACGTATTGACAATTGCTCATATGTGGTGCATCCTAGTTATGTACTTAGTGAGATTTAAAAGGTGTTATGGTAAATGAACGGCCTTGTTTTCATCATATATGCCATCAAGTTTTTTCAAGTTCGAAATAGAATAAAGGCTACTTATGACCAATCTCATTTGACTTTCTAATCGCACAATAAAGAATGTGGAGATTTGCATGATCTATTAACCATGTAACAAGTGATATATAAATAACGCAGAACTAGAGAAAAAATTAAAACCTATATGCAGTCAATATGAGATTAATAAGCTGAACAAAGCTACCTCTAAACACAATGACAACTGAAATGAGAATGTCAGATGATCGACTAGTTCAACATAAGTTATTTGGATTATTTTCGAATAGATTAGCAACTTCCCGATATTACTACCAAGGTTGAATCAAAAGAACCAAAAATTGTAGAACATCTTTTCAATTGAATAAAATTTAAAAAATACATCTATTCCTTGTTACTAAATATGTTTTTCTGAATAAAACATAGATATACGCGAGAAACAGAGAAGGACAATGCGCTATATGACAATTCAGAAAAGAAAACAGAGCTATGAGAAGAAGAGACAGAGAGAAAGTGGTGACATGAAGAAAAAACTACACTGACTGTATTAGTAGTTAGATACATTGCAACAACAAAGAATATCAAAAAGAACCACACACCGATAGATAGACAGACAGACACGGAGAGGAAGCGAACACTCACCAGTACAAAGTACATGCACAATACACTCACTTGTTTACACACATTGAATAATAGTAATAATAATAATGGAAAGTTTCTATGGGAACACACAAATACATTATAAACCACACACATAAAGTAGAAATAAATAGGATTATGAGGTACTTTGTGAGTTTGGGCAAATTAAACATGGTTGAATAGGAAGAAATGGGAACGTAATGCAATATTTATACATGTTGTACATGTACTTATTTAATCTATTTTGGTTTACTGATATATACTGCTACATTATGATTAATATTAATGTTATTTACTGCTGGTTTATACTAAAAACAAAAGAACTCAGCCCGTCAAAACTTATCAAGAGTATCTACCTATAGATAACCTCTGTATTAGATATCGAAATGCGAAGAAAAAAGTCAAGATGACAACACACACCTGAAAGGAATGTTGTTGACAATGGGGGGCAAGGAGTGGGGAGGCGAACAATCAATTGCAAGACGCAGGAAACACCAGAAAGCATATCAACCTTTAATTGATCATGAATTAGATGTTATCTTCGTCAGATAAAGCAAAGGAAAAAATTGTAACGAATCACGATTTTCAATTAAAGATTAGTAATTCAGGAATAAAAAATCCAAAGGAGATACAAGTTCGTTCAACTGTGAAGATATGAAATAAATATGTCTCGATGATGAAGACGAAGTGATGATTAGTAAAAGAAAAGAATATATAATACAATTCACAATCGTTTCTGGTAAAATTTTTTTCCACTCCCAATTGTTTATCCTACATGTTGTTGTTCATTGCTCCACATTGATCACTCGACAAGGCTACTGTCGCGAAAATTGATTTTTATGGAGGGAAGAATGTTAGAATTTCGTACTTAGTCATGTGGCTATTATTTTACAAATCAAATGGTATAGGGAGTTTACAAACATGAAAATTGTTCCATCGGTAGAAGCATACAGACATACATACACAGTTTGATAAACATGATTCTAGATAATGACAATATTATTACAACGGTGGACGACATCGTTGTTCATCTAAACGTGTCGATTGAACACGTTGAATTAATGCAAATAGATCGTTAGCATCACCATCATCATCATCAACGATAGCTGGGACAGAACATCGATTTGTTAAATTATTAAATGCACCGGATGAAGTATATAAAGTTAATTCTCTGTGTGAATTAGACGTTGTTATTGTTGTTGCTTCTGATGTACTTATTGGTTGACGAATTCCCCTGGAACCATCACCATTATCATTATTACGATGAGTTGGATTAGTATGTGATTGAACTTGAGTAAGGGGATCAGGTAGATTGGTTCGTTGGTCGTTGATTCGTGTACATGTCTGTAAGAGAATAAAATATATACGATGATAGATAATATTTGAAGATTTTCGATGTGTCGTGGTCTCTAAGTTGGCTTATTAAATTGTGAAGCTTTCATTAACTTTCTAGACGACATCATCAGTACATGCTCCAAAAGAAAGTGAGCTATTGGAATTCCTTCACAACTGACAAACAGCTTATTCTGTTGACATGGAATTTGATTAGTTGTTATACATAGTTGTGTTACTACTGTTTGTGAACCTAACTTGATAGTCTTATACCTTGGTCTGACCTCTGATCTCAAGGTTGTGTACGCCTTATCTCACTGATTAATTTTGATATGTCTATCATTCAATAAGGTGTTCCGATCGGTCACATATCGATCAACAGATATACTAAAATCGAACCAACCTATTTGTGGCTAGAGGTCGGGGCCAGGTGAGGAGACAATCTAAACTGCAGATGTAAACAACGGTAAAACGACTAGGGATAGCAACTAATCGAATATCATGTTAGTAAAATAATCTGTTAATCAAATGTAAACAACTTCAAATAGCCCACTTCCCTTTTAAATATTTGCTGACGATGTTATCTAGAAAAAAGAGCTTCATAACTAAACTATCCAACTCAAAGAAAACTACACCTTCAAAATATAGTGGAAAGTTGGTTAAAAAACGAGAATATTTGGAAAACAAAAATATTAGCAATGCTTGAATACATGATTCGAAGTATCATTCAAGTGTATTTTTAACAATTCTTAATTGATTCGATGGAATTCACTGTTGGATAAGAATTAAGTCTGACAATCAGATCTTAATTTTACTGGTACTTGAGCGATCTAAATTATGTGCGTCTTCCGACTGTCTTTGTTTCAATGAACTTCAAATAATGTTTAAAGCATATATATATAGTGTATAAATGTGTAAGTGTGCTGAAGAAAAAACATATTTTCCTAACCAGTTGTCGTGTTCCTCTTAGATGATATCAGTTCGGTCGAGGATTTGAGTTAGTAAATTTAACCTCTTAATCAGATATCAATCGGATACATCGTATCAACGTGTCCATCACATGATTCATTTATTTAAACAATTAAGAACTCAATCGTTTATCGGATCATCAAATTCCTAAGCCCTAGCACTATTTAAATACGTGTTTATGTGCTCTAGATTGAAAATCCACTTCTAAAGCGGAAACCAGTAATACTATATAGCTGCTCGAATCGAAGTAAAGGTTGAGTGGAGTCCGAACAAACAAATCGACAGATGAAAATAGAATACTTTAACAGTTAGACCATTGTTCCACTCTCTTACAGCTTTACAAAGATAATTGTTGATCAAGTCACAGTATGGATATATATTAAAATTTGTTGAAAAACTGAGAATAGTTAATATCAGCTTCTCAACTATGTTCTATAAACATTATAAATACGGCTGTTTAACGGACAGATCACTTGATTTATTTGACGACCCGTGTATAATTCTTAATACACTTGATTACTGACAAGATCTCTCTACTAAAAGATAAGCTCGATACTTTTCAGTCTATGTCGCTTATGGTGCTAGAGCCGTGGATCCAAGTACCTATCGTAGGATGAGTATTCCATAACTAGCAGGTCATTTTGTACTGCTCCAAACAGCAGTGGAAAACAGTCATTTTAAAACTTGTAAGATATAGATTATGGGTGTTCAATAATATTATATTTCATTTAAATGAACCACTGAAAGAGTCATGCTGAGGTTAGATGCACAGTCATATAGAAAAAATAAGTGACTAGATGAGATTATAAGCCTCTACCGATCTAGATGGTTGTCAAAAGTTATGAACATCCTACGATAGTGTTTGGAAGTGAGAAGAAAAGTACATCACATTGGACCAAAACATCAGGGTCCAGTATGTATATATATATATATATATATATATATATAACCTGTTGGATCTGAGATGAGTAAGGAGGTGGGATAATACTAATATTAATGTAAAACCACTAGACCAAAGTCGATAAAAAAGATGAAAACAAACTAGAATAATCAAGAGAAATGCACTAAAGATCAACAAAGAGGAACAATGAACGACGACGAATAATGAAAGTCCTTAATTCGATTTCGTACTGACTAGGAGTCTTATGCTAGAAAAAAAAACAACCGTCCATTGGTTCTTGGTTTTAGTGATGGTTTGGCCATGATCAGTTCTTGATTCAAACTATGAAAATATTAGTAATTAATGCATTTGGGAAATTTAACGCATTTCGAAGATTCAGCCAGAAATTATTAAAATCATCGTTTTGGAATTCTAAAACCATGCTGATTCTTAGAAATATCTAGTTTTACATATATTCAGACACTTTTCACGACTTCACCAACGATCAAAGATGTAATAAAACTTCTGATATTATCTTCTTGATCATTTAATTTCATAATCTATATCATGAACTGACCTACGCAAAACAACCGACGAAAATCAGGAAACACTGGAAAGCTGCTTCGTCTTGGTATGGGACTTCTCAAACAATGCCCATTCACAACCCAACGGGGATCGAACAAGAGTCCACACTGATGAGGAGACCCATATCAGGATGAAAGAAAAGTCCTGTGCTCCTTCTTTCCCGGTGGTTGTCTAATTAGTATCATTTCGTAACGTAAACTGTTAAATTGGACAATCTTCACAAACCCCCATTATAGTATTGTCTTTTGAACTGTTGAATACAAGCTTAGAAAGGTAGGTATTGGAGCAACCGTACGTATTACTGTTTCGAATGTTTTGAACCAATAGCTTTCGACTTCCAAATCGCTTATTTAAGATTTGTAAGTAACATTAATTTATTAATTAGTTAAACGGATTCAAAATAAAAACTCCATAAAAAACAACCTACCTGAATTCGAAATATCATTTCTAAAAACTCATCGTCCAAATCACCAGTAGATGAAACAGTATGACCGCGACGTCCACGTGTATCAACACCACTACCAGCAGCATTACTTCCTACTCCTCCTCTTATTACCGCTCTTCCTGTTTCACAGCTACCACAACTAGCTCTTGTAGCAGGAAATGTAGTGGTGGTGGTTGGATTGTGATCAAATAATCCAGTGACATCATCATTATTACTGCTGTTATTGCGTAGTCTAGGTTCTGGAAGACCATCACTTGCACAGCTACTTGTTGATTTGAACACTGAATTAGTTGAACCGAAATAACGGTTGTTATTATTAGCAGGAGTAGTAGTATTATTATTGCTATCTAATAAATGAAGACCTGGACCAGAACGAAGACCAGGGAAAACAGATAAGTTGGCTCGTTGGTCATTCATTCTAGCACCCTAAACATACACACATAGAGTAGTGGAAGCATAACAAGGAAAGAAAGGAAATAGAAACTATTGAATCATATATATATACGAAAAAATTGAACGCTAGCTCAGTAGATGTAGATGTCCACTGTTTAAGAGTCTCATGATAGGACGATACAACTATTCAGTATTTTTTGCTCAGCGATGACGTGAAACTTTAAATTCAACAATCTTCATAATGTCATTGTATATGTGTACATATACTGAAAAAATGACCAGAAATAAAACCCATTGGAGGATGTTGTATTTTTATTTTGTGAGTTAAACATTCCCTATGATTACATAACAGAAGCTGTCAAGACTTTTTGTCTATTACAGACAGCAGATAGTAGTAACGTTTATGAAATTAGACAACTAAGTTGACAATTGCAAATAACAATAATGAATAACATTGATGGTTGAAAATGTGGTTAACTGATTATTTTTTTAAAAAAATTGGTAATATATTTTCGGAAGTCAAGAAAAAACAAACAAAATACTACATGCTAACACTGCTTAACGCTAATGAAAATACATTAGATTGACATGGAGCAGTAATTTTTATGATCTCAAGTAGCTATGATGTAAGTAATAATGTAAAAACGAAGTTAGATAGGTGAATGTAATTGAAAGATAGGGTTAGATAAAGCTTTCATACTATGATTGATACTTTCTAACAAGTTCTATATGTAATCTTGAAGTAACTGCTGCTCCACTGCCACAAACTTTGAACCCGTATCACTACTTGGTGTATCACAGTGAGTCGAGACTTCAACACTAAACGATTCGGGATGCAACCGATTTCCTGCAGGACTGAAAATTTTACATTCACCGGCTACTAGTTAATAATCAACAGATGTAAGTGACAGACTGGGGGACTGTGAACATTATGCTTGTTGCACTTAGATGTCATTTGAGGGTCAAATAACACATTAAAAATTACAAAGATGCGTTAATGGAGAAAGTCCATTAACAAACTAAGCAAGGTCTCAGCTTACATGTCCTTATCTAAGTCAGAGGGAGAATAGCATAATCCCATGATTTATGTACATCACAATCCGGTTCGGCGATTAAACCCTCATACTTATTTCAATCTTCTCGTTTGCATAAAAGGATTCATTATACCGTAACTGAATTGGATCATAAAAACCAACAGTAACTTAATATAATGGTGGAATACAGAAATACATACACATTCAGAATGTACAAGAAAATTAAATTTACCTGAACCCCTTCGATTAAGTCAAAGAAAGCTTCTTCATTTGTACCAATTTGATTGCGAAGTGAAGAGTTATCATAGTCGGGTGTACGACGAGAATTTCCAGATGACAACTGAACATTGTTTGACTCTTGTACACTATTTGTTTCAGTCGATTGAATGGGTGGTGTACCTTGTCCAGTAGTACGTAAATAACAACGTTGTTCATCCATACGACGAGATTGTGATTCAAGTAGAAGTGAGAAAAACATTTCTTGTTGATCTACTGAACGTTCTTCTTCAACTAGAGATGCGGCAGCGACTGCAACTGCTGACGAACTAGTACCAACAGTATTACATGTATTTCCAGAATCTAAATTTTCACTTGATAAATTAGAATTTCTATTCATCTGAGACATGGATTCAATTGATTCTAAATTGCCTTCAATATCTTGAAGATTAGGTATATCAATTTGTTGTGATAAACTTGGACGAAATGATGGAGCACTTAAATAAAATTCAACCTGAAAATATTTTGTTTTATAAAGTAAATAGTCATAATCAAAATTCATCTCAACTTATTACATAATTTCAAAATAATACTCTTAAATATTGACTAATTTAATACAACATATTCTATGCTTGCATTCGTACAGGGATGGTAGCTTATTGGTTAAGACATTTAACCTATCAGTAATCAAGTCCCAGGAGAAAACCCTCGGTCCTATATCTATTTCGGATTGGATAACTGGGTAGTATGATATACTAGACTTCGCAATTAGAGAGTATCTTTAAATCAAGAACACAAATCTGTATCTGGTAAATGAGTTAGTAAACAAGTAATCTGTATAATTGACATTTGATCACAAGATATTAGGCAAGGTTTGCGAATCTTATTCTTTTGTATATTTCGGTTTAACGATTATAAGAATATTGAAGACAGAAGATTAAACGCATTCAATAAACCGAGATTAAACAAACTTCAATAAATATCAGCCACACTATAAGTTTGGGGGCTAATGAAACTCCTAAGGTGACCAGACCGAAGTAGGGAGAGGAGCTTCGAACCTGGGATACAAAATAGTAGACACTGAAAGCGAGATTTTTCATAACATTAGTCAGACCTATATGTTGTTCGGCTTGGTAACATCCGAAGTAGTAGGTTTAAATGAGCGATCGTAGTTTCAGATTATTTGAACAAGATACAACATTGGACACAATGATTCTTCATAAAGCAATAATTTAGCAACCAAAACATTGTTTTGACAGTTCAGAACTTTTAAGCCTTTAACCTAAAGGTCCATTTCTTCACAAGACAGAACAGCATCAGGAAATATATTCTGCTGGCGATTTGGTTGACAAAGTAGATTCCTGCATAATATGCAATCCTTGTTTGAATAATTTTTCGAATTCCTTAGGCGAACCTTTCGTTTCTGCCAATTTAGTTCAACATTCCCTGGTGTCCTCCGGTTTCTGTGGAAGGAAATACATCTGGGCCGTCAAACGTGTGACGAAGACGCACTTGGAAGAGGTTAAAGTGCACAGCAATTTTTAACAAATTGATCAATTCAGTCAAAAAGTCTACTATCCACTGATTTTATGACGACAGTAACCTGTCAACCAATTTCTAATTTGAAAATAATTTACAATAAATAAATTACTTCAATCACCAAAAGTTTGGACAACCAAGCAACACCATTTTTCCTCACATACAAAAATAGGCACAGAGCGGAATACACCAACTTATAATACATGTCACATTATTATTAGTGGTAGTGTCATTTCAGGAAATAAAAAAATGAACCATGACACTACTTACCATGTTTTCCTTTTTCGACTCTGATAGAACAGGCGTTGGAACATCTAAGTAAAAGGAATTTTAAAATAAGAACTATAATTACGTGAACTGAATCTTCGGTTATATCTAAGAAAAAATTAAAATCAATTTTTTGAAATTAATATTATTATTTTTGGCAGTTCATATTAATAACTGACTTTAATTGAACGATCACAAACAACTAGAAGGTATTGGACAGTTGTTTCGTTCTAATATGGTACTCTTCGAAAATGTACATCTACAAACATCACCGAAGACCAGAGCCAGGGTCTTCAGATCTCGCGTCGTGTGTTAAATACTTAGACCATTGGGCTGCTTTAGAATGGTTGGCATTCCTAACACCAATCAACTCCAAATAATGCAAAACCATGAACCAGTTCCAGTGGTGAGTAGCTGCTGCTTCACATTTAACATGAGTGAATTACACTTGTTAAATATATATATTTCTTATTGTTAAATAACTACATTATACATATATTCGTATTCCTTTTACCATAAGTTTTCAATTGACCTATTGGCTATTATTATTATTATTATTATCCATAGTGTCGCGATTTGGTCTGTGCACGACCGGTTCTTACGGAATACGACCTGTCAATCTCGGAGTCGGGCGTCTATTGAGTCTTTCATCCAGTTCAGCAACGCTCTGTTGAAAATTATTTCCTGGTACCGATAGTAGTGTGATTCTTCTGTAGTTCCCACACTTGTTCATATCTCCTTTCTTTGCTATTCGTATGAGTTATCCTTCTTTCCAGTCCGTCTGTGGCACTTGTTCTTCCTCCCAAATCTTCCCCAATAGAACGCGGATCATCTTTGCAGTTACTTCTAGTTCTGACTTTAGTGCTTCGGCTGGTATATTGTTGGGTTATGCTGCTTTTCCGCTCTTGATTTGTCTGATGGCCATCCTGATTTCTTCGATCGTTGGTGGAGTGACATGTATAGGATGGTCTGTGTGTGCTGCTTCGATATCCGGTGGATTCAATGGAGCTGGCCGATTCAAGAGTTCTTCAAAGCGTTCTACCCATCTGTTCCTCTGTTCTTGGGTCTCAGTGATTGGCTTGCCTTCTTTGTCCTTAACCAGTTTCTCTGATTTACTATATTTACCTGCCAGCAACTCTCGAAGAGCGTGGAGCATTTTACCTTTCGTGAACGGAGTACAACAACGTCTCTCTTGCATCTAGCTTTCGCAGTGCAGCTTGGGTCCAATGGGTTTCACTGATTCCAAGAACCGTAAAGTTGTATCTCCTCATTTCCGTTGCTATTTCACTGGTCACCCGGTTTCCCACATCGTTCAGATATTTCATGTACCTATAAAAATTGTTGCTCTGGTTGTTAGAAGAGACATCGGCCTCGTGACTTTCGCAGAATCTCGGCTTTCATCTTGAGGCGTCATAATTCTTCCTTCAACTCGACAGACAGAGTTTGATTTTTTTTAATTTGTTTAATCTGGTTAGCGTTTTTTGCAAGGTTGTGTTCTATGGCATAAGGTTGTTGACCCCATATCCAACTCCTTTCTTTTACCCGGGCTTAAGACCGGCAGTAGCCCTAGAAGAGCAACAGGTGGAGTTTATTCTTAATTTATTCCCAGTCTATTGGTTACAGCCATCACACTCACTTTTGGCTTGATCTTGTATAATTCTTTTTATTTTACGGTGTGATGTGGTCTGGTTTGCTTGTATATAAACTACATGTGTCTGAGATTGTTCTGGACTCGATGGGCAGGGCTACGCGGAAAGTTACTATTTTGGGGATTAATAGGGATTCAGAGTTGACGCAAGACGGCTAGTTCTGGTTGATATGTCATTGGTTTAGCACAGGAACAAGGTCATAAAAGTCGGAATTCTGATTGGCGATTTTGTCACGTGATAATTGACAGAGGCAGAAGTCATAACATAATACAACTATCTCCACAACCACCCGCGTCTATACTATTGATAGTATTGTCATATAAGAAAAGAAACGCAGGAAAATAACATAATGTGGTTGGTCAATATAAATCATTTAATATCATCCAATGCATAAGAAATTGTTGGAAACTCCATCCTCAAGACAAAATCAACAAAGTTTGTAGCTTTATAAAATATGCTTAAAATATATATGAGCTAAATAACTACATAGAAAGAAGCCTAAACAATAATTAGTAGACAGAAAGCATCACAACCAGGAGGTTATTCAGTCAGTAAGTCGTATGCGACGTAAAACTTGCCGACCCACATCAGCACAGTGAGATTCCAGAGTAGCGGAAGTAGTAACGTTGTCACTGATAGAATTCGAAAAAGAAATGATTCGTGTGATCAAAAAGTAAAATATGATTTAGAAACTCAGGATCTATGGGAAAAGAAATAATGAATGCATCTAAGCCAATGTGACCGACTCTACGTCTTAACACACAACATTAACCACTGATCATGATAATCGTGTAGTGGTGGTTGCTGTGGCTAGAATACATAGGTCTTAATCAGCAACCTTGCTTTAGCTACTTCTGATTTTGGGTAAAGACTGAAAGATATATGCAATAGATAGTCTGCAAGACATTAAATTACTCTATTGGACTTAAAAAGCATAGTTGGAAACGTGATTCGGTAAACATTGATAAACACATTAAGTGGTTTACTATTTAGAACTTTTATTCATTTAATCCCAGTATCGATGACCAATAAAGGATTTCACAAAGGCAATGGCACAGACATAATCAAAGTAAGTAAAACTTATCGTTAATTCTCATTCGCATTTCAGTTGCTGTACTTTATATTAGCATAAACGAACAGTTGTCAGTCAAATAGTTACTTAAACGACTTAGGACCTGGGCATGAATGTGCGTCGTCCTCAATGACCACATGACATTAAATTATCAATAATGACAAAATGTTAACCAAATGTTTAGTACAGTATTAGTACAAGTAATTGTAGTGTCTATGACAGTAAAAAAAAGCATTAGACTCCAATTAATTCAGTCACAAATTCAAAAGCCCACTCCTAATCATGGAGTCATAAATGACTAACAGATGACAGTTGTGTAAAGCTTTCTCTCAAACCACGGTACCATGCCACAAACTGACGATATCTCCGCTTTTTCCAACCAGTCCCGGTGTCGGAAAATAATGCAATGTGGAATTTCCTGGGACGGCATTAGTAGTACATATCCAAGCACCGAAGCCGGTGTTGCAAGATAGTGATACTAATCGGATTGTCGTCACTTTCCGCGAATACACGTTACCGAACTTCCGCATATTAAGTGCTAGTTCTTGCGTGAATGAATAACTGCGATAACTTTCTTATAATTCATGTTTGCATTAACCTTTTCCGTTATTCAATTGAGTTTAGTTTAGTTATTTTACTGTCCCTTCATCATCATATATATATATATATATATATATATATATATATGGTGTTCTACTCCAAGTTAGTCTTGTTGAACATTATATTTTCATGATTACCTAATTTTCCCCGGTGTCCCCCAGTGACTTACGAATTATCATCAAGGTGATGTATGTCAGTCTTCGGCTTATCTAGCTTACATTGGATCCTGTTTTTATTAGAATAATCTCAATCGTTCTTAATTTATAATTACAGTACCCTGGTCACAAAAACTGAGATGAAACTATTGGGAAACAAACACTTCATTTCAAGTATAATTTGCAAAAAGGAGAAAAATATAGTTTGTCTTTGATCGAACAAATATTAATTACGGTAAATAACAAAAGTGAGTCATTTTTTATTACCCAAAAAAGTGAATAACAGAATCTGTATAATAATATAATTAGAAAACATTGTGTAAATATCACAAAAGATTCACAGATACTGATACAATTGGATATATAAATCTGAAAGATTAGTGATTAATCGACTATCAATATTGAGTCAGGGACTTCAGAAAAAACCATAGTTAAAAAACAATAATTCCAATAAAATACAAGTACCAACAAGACAAAATTGAGGTAATGATTATATAAGACAAGAAATCCTCAATACCATAATGGTGTTATCATCAAGGTGCAAGTGGACACATATGATCTTTACTCTGTTTATCGAATTTAATATTTAAAAAATACTAAGAAACTCTATCCAGTTGTTTATTTATTTATTTCAACACATAGATATTGGTACAAAGAGGCACCAAATACATATGCACCACACAAATCTCATTCGATATGTGTGGGGGCTGTGATACTGCCCGGGTGCCCAGACCAAAGCAGGTGGTTTTCTTAGGGGACCACACCGCGAGCTTTTGACCTAAAGGTCTGACTCGCAAGGTAGTGGAGCATCGTCAGGAGATGCAGTCCCATGGAAGCCAGTGACCAACAATTGGTTCATACGCCATTTGTCCCCGCAGGATACTGGAGCCCATGTGCACCATTGGTTTGGAATCCGGTTAAAGCGCCGGACATTCGCTTTTCGTCCTCCCATTTTCGTAAACAACACCCCCGCCACGAGAAGGCAGTGAGTAGGACTTCCCTGGCAGAGGCTATATACGCGTGGCCATATGAGAGCATTTCGAGAGGGAGAGCGGACTCTCCCCACTCTCGGCCGTACCAGGGCATTTGGGCGCCTATCCAGTTGACGAATTCACTACTCAATAGATCAATCACAAGCAACGTAAAATCTGGTGTATACAAATAAGTGCATCAGTTCAAGTTTCCAAGTATCAACTGTAGTACGAAACAGGCATAGATAGTATGACTCGAAAAAAATTATTAGTTTGTGAAATATAAAGTATAAGATAATTTTAGAACTGAAAATCTAAAGTAAAGCAAATAGTGAATGCACATGTCATTGTGACCAATTCTGAACTATGTCATCGAGTCACCAACCAATGGTCAGAATGAATTCACTTATTTTGCATACATAGGATGGCGCTATATATATATATATATATATATTGGTTATATGTCGATGTTTTTTCCACAACTGGATAAAAAGTGATGTATAACACTAGCCATTTACTTGACTATGGATATTTTTTACGGGAAAGCAACTTCTATTTCAAACAGAATTTCGACAACATCGTTAGGCGAAATGAATAGCACGAGATATTTTGTCGAGTCATATAAACGCTTAAAACCTACTTTTTAATAATATGCTGAATTGTTAAACTGTTTTTAGTAAAAGTGAGAGAGACTACGGAAAAATAATAATATAGGGGAAAATATCTATAAAACAACTGTTATTTTTTTATTACATGGAATGAATCACTTGATACTGATCATATGCAGTAAATAATTATTTCTGATCAAGGTAATGAATTAAGAATAGCTAGATAACCATTAAAAATAAGGAAATATTAGGGAGCTCTGTTTTTCTCTAAAAACAGGACTTCTCAATAGTGTAAACTCATAACTCTCTCCCAGAGATCAAACCCATGATATTCAGATCTCATAATGAGGACGTTATTTCTAGACCTCTGAGCTCAGACTAATGGTTTTATATTTTTTATTCGACTCAATTTACGATGTTTTATTGATATTGGTGATAACTCTTTCACTTTCGACATGGTTGAACTTCACTTGTTACTCCCTCTTACTAGGAACTTAAAAATTTCATTCGAAGTTAGTCACTAGTTCTGGTGAGGTTATGGGTTTGTGCCGCTGAAGAGCCTCGTACTATAGGCGAAACGGTTGTTCAATACGTTCTGACTTCCCAGGACTGTCTAGTTTAGGTCAGTTCACGCCGTAAACTACAAAGTTGACAATCTCCCATAAACCTGCTATGCTAAAATGAACTATATAATGATCTACGAGTTTATAAACATGCCAATGCATGAATTTATACACTTATTTCCTTCAATATATAAGTGATCAATCATACAAATATTACTGAAATTAAAATGTTGCTTAGATCTTTTAACCATTTAAACCACTAGTCTGCTAACTTCCCAATTTCGAACAATGATATCCAAGCGAGAAAAATTCATTACTACATTTTTACTTCTAGTAACTAAAATATTTAGATCAGTGACCAGCTTAATAATAATAATGAGATAAAGAATATTGGCCTACTTACTAAGTCATATAATGCCAGACAGAACATATTTTACAGAAAATATTGTAATGACGTCTGACGTTAAAATGATCAATGCTGAAAAGTCTGATAACTCTCAAAATACATCGAACAGAACAAACCGATAAAAATGATACTTTTATAAGTCGGCATCTTTACATTACAGTGTCCTAAAACTCTCACACTTCTCACTGTTTCATCGATATTCGAGAAAATAGAACTCTTGATTTTCTATTTTTGTCTTGTCGATTGTTTTAGGACAATGTTAGAGAGTAATCAAGGCTGGAGGGGATGATAATCGTATTCATTTCTTTTGTGGATGTTTGGTGTCATATTTAATCATATTAATGTACATATTCTTGGGTAGTGAATGCTAACCAGGAGTATGTGCTGTACTGTACAGTTGAAATAATGATGGCATAATACTCACCACAGACATCATGAATATGATACAGCGTAATAAACATAAGTGCGAAAAGAATTCCTTCTATGTAGTAAATAAGTAAACATGTAAATTACATTATACCAAACTATATTTGTTACTGTTAAATTTCTAGACACCATATCTTATTATGACAAGAAAACATTCCTTGGTAGAAACTATATAAATTGTTTCACATTTGAAACGTTTGTGAAATGAAAACTCTCATGCATACAAATAGAAATTTCGTATCGATTGCTCAGAAAATATGTTTTTTTAGGAAAATCCCATTAGCAATTAGTATATTTTTATGGTGTTATAAAATAAAACTAATTGGTAAGTAACCCAACCAATAAGGTATATGAGACACGATAGAAATTTTACAATCAAATGAAATTAAAGCAACTAGTTTACTTAAGGCATGTTTTTGTGTACTTGACCACTTTTAGTATAACAGTTAGGAACTAACGCTTTGATGTAATAGTGGGGCTTAATGGAGTTCAGGACATGCATTTCATCCTACTAGAGACCTGTTAGCCGTATTTATCTCCATTCCACTTTAGATGTTCACACTAAGACTCGAACCTAGTAACTTGCTTCAAACTCCAATGAGTTATCCGCTGAGCTATTCAGTTCAGATAACCATTAAGCTGTTCAACGATTACGAAATTGTAAACAATATGGTTTGAAATTTCAAGTTGATATTCAAGACTGTAATTGATCAGTTTATGTTGCCATTATCTTTATCCTAAGTAGATTGAATCGATATAGCTATTTTATCTACACATTTTAATACATTTAGGTTTTGGATAGCTCGTTAATCTTTGAAATTGTATTCAATATCAGAGTTCTAATGGTAAAATTAAAACTGAGATATAGTCAGCGTTTCCTGGATTCTATTGTTAAGCACAATTCAGCTTTACTAAAAGACAGATTTATGATTATCAGTAAGATTGTAAACTACAGTTATTACCATCTACCATTTTATTTGAATTGTATTAATAAATGCTAAATACAATTATTAAAAACAAAGTCGGATATAGCTAATTGTTAAAATAGCAGATTTTTATATACATATAGTTCAGAGATTAATAAATTAAAAGGGAAGTATGAAATAAACAATAGTGCGTTTCCTTTCCCCTCTCTCCATCTCCCTCTTCATTTTTATTGTGGTTCAACTAGGACTTGTTCTTTTGATCTCAGTGTGTTACTATTATTACTACCATACAATGTATATTTACTTATGATAGAAGCATATAAACGTCGATTATAATTTGTATCAATTTTCTATCCATATATATCCTAATGTGATATCATTTTTATTACAGTTATGATCATACTTTTATATGTAACATAATTATTTTTAAACGATTTTGTACAAACTACAGGATACTAAATAATAATTATTATAATTAGTGGGTTATTCTTCATCAAGAAAAGTCATACAGTTGAAGAACTCGTGACAGGTAGGAGATAATTAACAATTGTTTTGGTCATAGTTTAATATTCTTCAATAGTGTGAAACTATGGCTTTAAGAAACTGATTGAAGCTAAGATCTTCTACAACAACAAATGATGCCAGTTAATAATGAAAATTCTCTTCAAACTATGAGAGATATCTGGTAAAAGAAGCAACCTAATTCAGTAATATTTTATGCCTGTTGTAGGTTTTGATTGGATGAAAATAAAATATATGAATGATAAATAATTATTCTATAGCTTGTACACATTATATACTGAGGTACCAATGAGAACTAGAGAGTACTAGACAGTTGTTTCATTCTACTATGACTCTCAGTAGCACTTTACATTGATGATCTTATCAAGGATCAAACCCAGGACCTCCATGTTACGAGGTGAACGCCTAACCATTAGAACCATTGAATGTGGATAACTGAGTTATACACTAAAACGAAACAACTATCTAGCATCCCCTAGTTTTAAATGGTATGCCAACCTAAATTAATTTATGACGAATACAACTGACAAATTAGACCGATTCCCACGAAATCTTTTCAGTTAAACAATTAGTCCACTATACAGAACTGAAAGGGAAATGCTAATATCTTCTGCAAACTGTAATTCCTGTCAGTCAGTTGGTAATCGCCAATGTAGAGACTGTGACGTAAGTATATTGGCTCGTTTATAAATTATAGGTTAAGTAATTGTATATCTGTATCATAATATGACCTAATCATGCATGAATTATGATTACTTATTTACAATGGGTTGTGGTCTTTTAATTGATGGACAATATCATGTGGGTTATTGAGTCATAACAGCATAAAGCAAATCGGTTGGCTTTTCGAATGTTTTGATTAGGTAAGGTCTGTGTATGGAATTCATGCGAAATTGGTAGGAATATAAAGGTACCATACCTGTCACAAGAAGTAAAGGTCATAAACTAAGCACTTTCCAGTATGGTCGTGGATAAGAACAGCTGAAGAGTTTCGAACTAGCAACAATCCACTGTCCAGACCTCCACCTGGTTTTCAGTGGCTTACTAGCACAATCACATAAAATCAATCAGTGAAATTCATCGTCAACAGACTAACCGATTCAGCACTTATATGTTACAACAATAATAGCAACAGAAAAGTCAGTCAACTACAACGTAGGACCAAACACATATATGCGTCGGTCCAAGTGGTCACACCTCATTAGCACAACAAGATGAACACCAAATTCATAGAGGTAGTCACTTCAATGGTAGTAATGTAGTACAGGAAGAAAGAATTAGTTGGTAGAAAGAAAGATATAAAGCAATTTTAATCTCATAGTTTAAGGGAAGATAGAGAGTGCATACACCTACTCCATTGTGATCAATTCTGAGCCATATCACACAGTCTCCAATCATTGGTTACAACAGTCACGTGGACCCCAACCAAGTAGTCTGCATCTACCAACATGGCTCAGACTAGAAGTTAGTGACTTCAAGCACATTTTGGTTTGGCCGCACCTAACTTTCTCCCAACCATCCCCAACACTAGTCAGCATTGTGCGTTGTGGTAAACGGTGTTCAGCAGAAAAGGTGGATAATGTAATTACAAGATGAAGATTATCAGAACTATGTGGTATATCAGTGTAATATTTTTCCTATCACACATGTATGATTACATCATTTGGATTAGTTCTATCTTATTGCATTATCCTATTTCTTCAAAGGAATTCATTGTTTTAAACAACAGAATAAACATTTTTACAAAAATAATGGAATTACCAACAACAAAAAAGTAAGTTTAAACCTACCCAAACAACCCATTTGTGAAGTGACAGTTTGTCCATCTTCTGTAACAGTTACAAATTCCACTGTTTCAAGTATACCTTCATAATTTTCAAGTAATTCATTTTCTAAATCTTTATCCAATTCCAAATCTAGATCATCTTGATTATTATCATCATCGTTACCATTATCATTGTTAATTACTACTTTATGTGAATGATTTTCAGTAGTATGATTACTATCAATTATATTCGCTGTCACAGTTGTAGGGGAAGGAACAGTGGTAGTAGAAAAATTACTAGTTACAGTTGATTGTGAACTTTTTATCTCTATTCGACTACTAACAACGTCAGTGTTTGCAGAGGGATCGATTGTTTTAGAGGAATCCAATAATGACTGTGAAATTAATCCATTTATTAGACTAGAATTACTTCCATCAGTAATATGAAGATCAATGGGAGGATTATTTGAAAAATTAATATCAGTACAACTATTATTTGTTAAAATAGTATTAGTAGGATTAGAAATAGTAGTAGTATTAGTACTGACACTATTGTTATTCCCATCAATGCAACATTTGTTATTGTTTGCACCACATGGTAATTTATGGTTATTTTTTAAGAACAGAATATTTTCATTTAATTTCGAATTATTTATATCCAGTAAACAACTCTGTTGTACAGACGAATAATTTATGGTTGAATTTGAATTGTTTGATTGTGAGTCCGTTATGTCATTTTTACAAGAAGCACCAATCAGAGTAGAGCATTCTGTTTGTGTACTTGTCATTAAGTTACAGATTTCACCAATCATCAGTTGAGCAGTCATATAGCCTGTGGTATCACCCAGCTATATATATATATATATGCGCATTGCGTAATAAATATTTGTGGGTACGCGTGTTAGTGTGTATGAAGTTATTACATACATAGTGATTCAAGTGTATGTTCGTTCATCCACCAGATGAAATAATTAAAATATTTGTTTGTACACGTTAAAACGAATCCAATGTGTAAGTGAGTGAGCGAGAGAAGGAAAGAAAAAAAGAGGAAGCATTATAAAAAACAAGGATAGGAAGAGGACGAAAATAGAAATCAGCTTTTCTTTCTTAAAATGAAAAATGATGAAACAACAAAATCCATCTAATTCTTTTTCTTATCTTGTTTTTCCTCTTTTTGACATACGATAAACATTAAATAAAAGATTTTTGTAATTTAAAAATAATTTATATTTGTGTAAAATATTATGTATTTAGAAATAAACAGAAAAATTGAAGAGTAGGTCTGGATCTCTATGGAAACCGTGGGTAAAATTCAAGAACGGAAGAACAATAAGACAGCAATTAACAACAGACGAACAAGAACAGAGAAAGTCAAGACACAAGATAGATACACAGGAGCAAAAAAAGCAAGTGAAGAAGAGCATCAGAGCCGACAAGCAGAAATACGTGGAATAGCTAGCAACGACAGCGGAAAATAATGCAAGAGAAAGAAATATGACACGACTATATGACACGACGAAGAAACTGACAAGGAATTATAGTAAACCAGAGAAACCAGTTAAGGACAAAGAAGGCAAGCCAATCACTGAGACCCAAGAACAGAGGAACAGATGGGTAGAACGCTTTGAAGAACTCTTGAATCGGCCAGCTCCATTGAATCCACCGGATATCGAAGCAGCACACACAGACCATCCTATACATGTCACTCCACCAACGATCGAAGAAATCAGGATGGCCATCAGACAAATCAAGAGCGGAAAAGCAGCATAACCCAACAATATACCAGCCGAAGCACTAAAGTCAGAACTAGAAGTAACTGCAAAGATGATCCGCGTTCTATTGGGGAAGATTTGGGAGGAAGAACAAGTGCCACAGACGGACTGGAAAGAAGGATAACTCATACGAATAGCAAAGAAAGGAGATATGAACAAGTGTGGGAACTACAGAAGAATCACACTACTATCGGTACCAGGAAATAATTTTCAACAGAGCGTTGCTGAACTGGATGAAAGACTCAATAGACGCCCGACTCCGAGATTGACAGGTCGTATTCCGTAAGAACCGGTCGTGCACAGACCAAATCGCGACACTACGGATCATCGTTGAACAATCAACTGCGTAAAAGTTACTGTCCGATTACATTTACTTTTTTCCGAAGAATGCACAAACGATTCGATTGAGGTGATCAGCCAGTCGATTGACACTTCAAGTTTAACTTTATACATAACCTACGTTATCAACATTAGATATAATCCCAAACGGTATTGTACAGTGTTGTGGAGATTGTTGAATTTACGGCTAGAAATATATAAAATTAGATGGGAGCTCAGTGATCTGAAGCTTAGGCATTAGCTGTGAGCCCTGATGATCTTAGGTTGAATACTTGGTCGGGTCGTGGATGTACACTAGTCAAGGATCTCAAACTAGGATGGAAGAGCTACTGAATACTTCCTGGTTCCCAATGGCTGTCCAACTAAAGTCGGTATGTGATACGAAACTTCATAATCATGATTTCTATCCACGATCCTACGCGCGGGAGTAGATCTCAGGATCTGCGTGTGTGGGTCCTACGCTAGAATGAGATGGCCGTTCAATGCTTCCAGATTTTAAACGGTGCTTTAATTTAGATTGTTCCATGATTTCGATGAAATCCATGAATATCAATAGGACACTTTGAGGAACATTCCTAGTTAAACATTTTGGTACTATAAGAAAAATGAAGTTCATCATCATATAATGCATAGAGTAAACAAATTATCAACTGAAGGCTTACCTGACGAGCAATTCGACGATGACGTTTAGAGCAACGTAAAGCTAAATCATATCTTTTTAAGGCAGTATAAGCATTTGCTAATGACCAATGTGCTCGACCTTCACCTATACGATCGAATAGACCACGAGCAATAATGAGATGTCTCAATAGGAATACAACAGCAGTACTTGGGTCCCTTAATAGAATAAATGTATTTCCTAAACTGAAACAAGCTTGAGCTTCAAGTGATGTGTCCTTTAAACGTACTGATAATTGTAATGCTTCTCTTAAAAACATATCATAAACCGGAAAGAAATAATAAAGAGGGGAAAAGTTACAATAACGAAAATTAGTTAGAGAAGTACACACAGACATAAAATTCGAATAAAGCTAATTCAGAAAGAAATGTTGAGTGGGGCCTGATTATCAACTCACCAACCAGGCAGAGACTCATGTACTTGGCTCTTAGGATTAGTGATACCACTCGGTTGCCCAAAATAAAATATGTGAAGAGGAATTCGGACCTGTGAATGAGTGGTTGAAAGTTGAACTTCTTAACCGCTAAGTCATCTCTTTATCATCAGTACTTCTGGAGTCATAGTTGAGTATGACAGTATCACTGAGTACAGTGGGCAATGAGGTAAATCACTTGATGAGGTTATAAACTTAAAAAAAGTAGTCTTACTGGTCAGTGTAAACAGAAGGTGGAAAGAAGAAAAGAACTCAAGCATAAAGTTAGTAACGATCGTTTAGGAAAGCTTGAACTTCTGGACTGAAATCAAAGATATATAATGAATTAACTTTTTTAAAACGTTATGATCTAGAATAGCTGAAAGTCACTCTCTCAGATTTAAGTAAAATTATTCTTTAATTTGATTTAATTAGTAAACGCTTCATTATTTTGTACTTATTTCCTCCTCCTTATCAAACATTTTTTCCTAAAATATATATCTGAGTTTTTCTTCGCATTAATTTCTGACAATATTTTGTTTTGAATTGCGACAACTTTGAACAATGAGTTGGCTAGTTGAACTCTACGTTGTTTTAACAATTATAAGGATGTTTGAGGATGGACTTAATGGTGTAACTAGCCTAAAAGTCATCTCACTTGACATTATAATCAACTGCTAGGGTCCAGAAAGTTTGTACAGATACATTATTTACGTAACTCATTTACCAAGCGTAGAGAGGTGACTTCGTAATTAAAATGCTCGGATTTTAACCAGCAGATTCTGAGTTCTCTTCACCTACGTCATTTTGGTCAATCGATTATTATCACTGGCTCTCGTGTGAAAATTGTGGATTAAAAGGGTGGACATAGACCTGATCCTAACAGATAAAATATAATAACTCCCTCCTCATTAACCATTTATCAAGTACAGACTAGTGTACACGGTTTTAATGTATGCGATCATGTAATGTGAATCGAGGCCATCTGTAAAACAAAGGACGAATATACTGACTAGTACCCGCTCTCTATAGCTCTCTGGGTATGAAGCATGATTTATAAAAGTAGACGACATGCGTAGGTTGCAAGTTTCTGATCAGTGCACTGGAAATATTACCCGTGTATCGTAGAAACATTGAGTGAGAAATGTTGAGTTTACGTGTAGAGTGCTAGGCAAAGACAACAAATCGGTTAATGAGGTTAGATATCTTTATGAACTGAGGTTGTTGGGATATGACCTCTTTTGGATTTATAATGTTGATTTCATCTTATCGTATTGACGTTGCAAGGCAATTTTAGCTAATGTGCATTTGTGCCAAGCTCTAGATGGACTATGAATCGAATATCTCTAGATGAATCTGTTAATGTCACTTATACACAATATAATGAATACTGAAGGATAAAAAGAGAATAATAATAACACTTGTTAACCTTTTTGAGAAATTTATTCAGTATCCACCCCTAAGTCTACTATATTTGACCTAATTCATATTATCCTACATATTACGTAATTTCCGACTTTTATTCCATTATCTCCTCTCACCCCATGTTGACCGTATTTATTCTGATCATTTATCGCACAATTTCATTTCCCTTATAAACTGATTCAAGTTAACACTTTATATTAAACAGCCTCAATATTAACGATCTAAATTGATTTTATATAACAAACAACAATTCTCAATTCACATATTACAATTTCCAAATGATGTACTCTGCCTTAAATCTGGCCAATTTTATGGATTATTAATTTGGATTTATGAATTGTAGAACCAGATGAGAAATTCATTGAAAAGAATATTTTTCGTTCATATAATTGTGTTTTAATATAATGGGAATTTTCCAGCGACTAAACTATTTACTGAAGACCTTCAGTAACTCTACTCAATAAGAATAAACATGATTAAAAAAAACTTATTAAGATGCATCAGTATTAAAATTAAATTAGGCCTGATACAAACACTTGTTCGTAAGTTTCAAAGCCATTTTTCTTTTAGGGCCTATATGAGAATTATTCGATCTTAACAACATTGCTTCAATATTATTATTGTAGACACCAGTAAAAGAAATGCCACATATGGACAACGATTCAATGATTATAACAGGATGTTTGAAGGAGAGGAAGATGAGAAAACTGCAGACTCTCTAATCATATACACACCGATGGTAGACCTTGATCGCACATAATAAGCAAAAGTCAGTAATCTCTGTGTATCTGTTGAGCCTATGATGCATAAACAGACCCAGAAATATCACATAACATATCCTTGACTATATCCTCTGAATTATATATTAAGTAGGCTCAATAAGTAACAAGAGTTTTAGAAATAATCTGTATTAGTAGTGTTTATTCTTGTAATTTAACTTATACATCATATCATTTTTATTGTATAAAATTGTGCAACAGATATACTTATCAATTGTAAGCATTTTAAGGACAAAAATATAGAAAAAAATTTTAAATTAACTCTTAATATAGAATACAAAATTTACCCGATCATTGGGGAAAACCAACAAATTGTTTAGTGCAAAATTACAGTGCCTCAGTAAACTATGAAAACCATACATTAAATACATCATTTGCACATCTTCCGTCAGTTGTCTCTCACAAACTTTAACATTTCTTCATTCCTGTTGTTATTAAGATTAATCTCTGTTTACATTCTTGTACTCTTCGATTCGATTTTCTCAATCTTTTGTTGCCATGCACTTTACTCCTGGTTGATGTTAAATACTACTGATATTTGTCAACACAAGTAGCATCCATCACAGCTACACTTATATTTTTTTTATAAATATAATTTAGTTTATCATTAATACTAGGACAGAAGGAATAATAAATAAAAATCTTAAACAAATTCTTATACCTTAATATTTTCTGCTAATAGAAATAAAAAATATAAAGCAGATTTTTTTACTTTCTAATGAATATAAAACAATCTTACCGATAATGTTCAACGGCTGCATTGAAATCAGCTAAAAATATAAATGCATTACCGATATTACTATGAGCACGTCGTTGAGCAGTTAGATCACCAAATTCTTTAGCAATTTTTAAACGCTAAACCAAGTAGATATTTAAAAGGAGAGAAAAAAAATTATGAAATGAATAAAAAGTAATGAAAGTCGTTGAGGTAATGCTAACTCCAATGTGAAAATTTTCATTTCTTTTTGGTGATTTTTTTTCCCGACCAAACAATTATATTCCACACTTATTCAATGTATTAATCAATGATTAAATATATGAAACTTTCTTTATAAGTATAATGAAATAATTCAATTTTAGAAGATATTTTTAATCATAGATAGATATCAAACTATACTGAATGATGGTCACAATAAATATTGCAAACTGATTAGAGTTTGAATTGTACTGGTGAATGATGATTTACAGGTTCATTTAATGATTGAACATTCATTGCAAGACCTGAACATCCTAAATTCGACTCCTGGCAGAAAGCACAAAGTAGATGAGAAATCCCATAATATGACTAAACAGCTATCTAGCGCTTCTTTATTTTCAATGGTAGCTTAACTGAGACTTATTTGTGATGAATACAACATCAGTAAACCATACACAACTTACAACCTGACATATCAGTCGACTGGTTTAAGTTACCACACCACATCTGCACAACTAGATATCAGAGTAGCATAGGTTATAGCAGTATAAGTGACAGTAGAATGCATTAGGGATAGACAATATGATTCGAGGGAAATGTGTACTCGTAGAGTAATTGGATTTTTCGAGATACTTTGAAAACTCAGGTTCTAAAAGGAAGACAAAGAGCGAATGGATCTGCCCCAGTGAAAACGAATTTAACCAAACCCAACCAGACTCTAACCATGGGTTACGTTAGTCGGAAGGACACCAATCAAATAGTCGACACCCGTCTACACAGTTCATTTCAACAGTCATCAAGTTCATGAACTGATCTCACATGCTGGTTTAGTTACCCCCAGCTTTCTTCCAAATCACTCCTACATCAGCCATCACCATCCACTGAGGTAGAGAGCAGCGGTTGGATATGCATAATACATATCGCGATAATCTCAATCGATAAATATTCATTACCTCACCAATCGATTTGCCATCCTTACTTAGTATCCTGAGTTTAACCCTAACATCGCTTACTTGGTGATTCCGACATATACGACCAACCCTCTGAAGGTATCTATGATAGAGTACTAGTAACCTATGAATACGAAATAATGCAGAAGCGTTTGACAGATGTCTCACATCTTAGTTGAAAACTATTTGGTACCTTCTATTCACAGCCTCAGCATGTACTGAACCCAAAGGACTACAGGTTTTGCAATATTTCGCGAGTTAACTGTGCAGGTCAGGAGACTCTTAACAGACTGTATGCTGTTTCACTATCACATGTTATATATGAGATGCTAGTGCGAGTAGACTATTTTAAGTAAATTAATTACCTAGCCAAGCTGGAAATCCAACGGGTGTATAGGACTAGTATAGTGCAATATACAATTTTTTTAGACAAATGTAATAACCACAGGAAACGTTTAAAAGTTCATTATAGGGTTTTGAAAGTTTACCACCATCAAATTTTCCCACGTGACACATACACTAATAATCACTATTTGCTTCATTTAGCCTATGCTTACAATTCTGTTATTCGATTTTTATAAACATAGATAGATTAGTAATTATGTTAACCATGTTTCATTTGTAAACGTTTAAATCTCCCAGTTTTGATATTACGGATCACAATTGATTAGTCTCTGTTAACATATGTGTATCCGGAGCGAAGAGCCTCAATGTTGCCACTACGTCACAAGCACTTTTAAGCAGAGTTGAATATCGGTTAGCAGTGGAATCCAGTACATGAGTTACGCCTTATTTTGGGCTCGCCAACCAGATATATCTGTTAAGCAGTGTCGATGTTCACGCCGGAACTTGAACCCATCACCTTTCGCCTCAAACACCCAACATATCAGTTTAGCTACTGAGTTCAAATAGGTAAGTGTTTAACTCTTCTCGTATGAAATGAAAGGCAGTAAGTTCGAGTCCTGGAGTGAACATCAACAAGTACGCAAACATATTCACCGAATGAGTCTCAAATATGACGGAACGAACGTTCTGAGTTCATTAACTAACCCCTATTCAACTTTACTTGAAAAATTTATATCAATTCTTTTACATTTAGAAGTATGACATGGACAGTATTTGTACTTTACGAATCCATCAGATTAGTTAAAGAAAAAATCTGTAGTGATGCTTTATGTGCGTTGTCTAAGGACAAGATTTCTATACATCAATTTAAAAAAATAATTTGTCGTTTCATGTATGGCTGTTAATTATGAACAGAACTAAACAATATCCATCATCATTTGCTTCTTATCGATGAATTAATGTAATTTTCTTAAAATATACATGATTGTTACTTTCCAATTATTTACATTTGTTGCATTTTCTATTGTTGTTCAGTATGCGTATTTTATCATCGCGTTGTTATTGATCATACACTTATTTCCATTCTCTCTCTCTTTCTGGATAAACTCTATTAATTTCTGGTTTAGCAGGAGATAAGGCTTTAAATATAACAAGTTAACCTAAGGATTTAACTTATAAGGATGCTTTGGGACAGTGAGAAGGGAGATATAACAGGTATATTACACAAACGAGAGTCATATTGATATATTCAATTTTTTTCCCAAAAGTAAAGTATTTAATTATTTCAGTTTGAGTATTTTTCTTGGAAAGATCATATATCACTCTCAAACAATTATAGGAAGTAAAAATAATGATCATAGCTAATACATACTTCTCTATAACATTCAATTGCTTCAGTGAAATTACTCAGTAAATAATAAGCATTTGCTAGACTACCAAGAGCTCGACCTTCAGCAGGTCGATCACCAAGTGCTCGAACTAATTCAAGACCCATTCTAAATAGAAAAAAAACAATACGAAAATTTAAATAAATGAAATCTGAAATATATTGTGTTGAACCTAATACATGAAAGCTCATGATATTTTTCACCCGGATATTAAGAAATTATAACAGTGTAATAAATAGAAATAAGGTAGTCTAATGTTTTAAAGTCAAATACATCACTATAAAGTAGTTGGATATCAAATGAACTGTAGTCAAACAGTATGGAACAATAAAACTGAAAAGACAAGGAAAATTTAGCGTATATACATGTTCATCGGTTTACAGAAGAAAGGAAACAACTGGTATTGTGGCGTATGCTACTTATACTGACAGATATAAGTAGTATGTATGTACACAAGCGGGTGGCCTAGCAACAGAAGAATGAGATGAAAAGAACAAGAAGAAAATCAAAGAGCAATCGAAATAACAACAGAATTATAGGAATAATGGAGTATATGAAGGACAAGGCAAATAAGCTGTGCAAATGATATATTTTACTAAACCACTGTGTAATTTTGCACTTAATAATAAACTGGCTTTTCCTGTTCGAGTTCTCGTTCACTGCAGTATAAGTGTCTTACAAAATATTTAAATACTCATAAGTCCAAAATTCAATGTATCTCGATATATACTCATAGTTGATATACAACCTAAACAATAAATATCGACAGATTATAGTTAAATATACAAAATCATTCGTAATACTTTTAGTTAAGTGATTTTTAAAGATTAGTCCTATTTGAAGGTGGCTGTTTTTTTATTATCCTAGACTAATATATCAGCTGATGAATAAAATGAATCGAAACAAGGAGCATCTGATAACGGATTTCTTAACAATTTGGCGTTCTTCGACAGTAAGTACACACTACTGAGTAAGGAGTTGTTCATTCTCTTTTGCTATCTTTAGAGAACTCTTTCATTTATCGTTTAATAATGTTGAAATGTAATTTCTATAGCTGAATGTAAATATGTCTCAGTCCTACAGAGGTCAGTCATGACATGAATAGTTCAATGATAACGTCTCTGATTGTGAAGCTGAGTAATGCAGGTTTAAATCACACAGGGATCATCAGTTCTTGTAATATTGCATGTGTCTTGCTGATGTGTCAACGTGCATGAAACCTCTGTACAAGGTGTTCCTCTGACTACCCTCCAACCGCTCGAAAGTGTTCTGTCTACCACCCAACGACATTGTAAATATATTTATACGTAATAATTAGAAGTTGAGTCGATTTTAAACAAATCCCCTAATCAATATTAGACTTTCAGACTTCCTGAGGGGTTAGGAAATTGTAGATCTATGAACTAGTAGGTACAACAGTGATAACAAATGCAACATTATCTACAAAATAAATTTTCTCAATTGCAAGAAGCACTGAAATAAAAAAGTGGGAGTTCTTTTCACCTAGACATGCAATAACACACAGTAACAATGTAAAGTCGAGAAGTACTACACATTTAATTAGTGCACGCACACAACTATTGACATAAACTTGATTCAGAAAATGTCAAAATTCTGGATCTGTATGATTCTAATAATGTCAGAGAATTTCTATAAGCATGGTATTTAAGTCAACCTGGAGTCAAAAGGCATACATATATAAATGCGATTTATAAATATACGCAGGAAAAATCAATAAATCACATGACCGAAGGGCAATTTAACAAAACAGTCAACGTGAACACAAAGACACATAGAGATGGTAAAATCTGAGACGACAATCATTTAGAAACAACGTCATCAGAACAAAATGACTTGATACCTGTGGAATAATTAGAAGGCTTTTTTTCTACTTGAAGCAGGTTCACAATTTAAACATCCAGCTTAGAGAACACAATACTACCCAAAAGTTATATCTAGAAGATAGATAATGAAATAGCTTTGTATAAAATCGTATTAGACATGCGAACAATCGGATTTCGGTTTAACGGTCTAGAAGTTGGGCGTTCACCACGGGACTGAGGGTCCTGGGTTCGATCTCCGGAGGGTCACAAATGTGCACTGCTGAGGCGTCTTACATTAGGACAAAATAGCTGCTCAGTGCTTCCTGGTTTGCATTCAACGTCTAACTTAGGTCAGATCATGGTGTCAATGAAATCGCATTAGTTTCAGTTGATAAACAATAGGAGCCGTACAGAAAATAGGAAATCAACACAAAAGGTGAAAGATATTTGCACACAATACAGAATCAAAAGACAAGTAAACGGTGAATAGAAAACATACATAGGACGTTCAAAGACTAAAAAAGTAGAGAAAGGTATTTTTAAACTTTTATGGTCGATTTATGCTAATTTTCTTACTTTTAGATAACTCAAGCCATTTCATTATGTTATTCAATAATTGTGAAAGAACGGTGAATTCTACTCAGTTATAATAATTATTTCCAAAATCAATTTCCATTCCCGCCGTCATCATTATAGAGAAGGTTTTTAGTGATTGACGGGACGAATTTTTTGTCAAAAAGGAATGAGAAGAATGGTGACCGACATTTGATATGAAAATGTGGCTGAGTGATATCTGCTTACAAAACCGTATTATTGAATTAATCTACCCAGATGAGTAGGCTTTTCATGTATTAAAATAGCATGCTTATATACAGAATATGAACACAAAATAAGTATGATAAAATATCATAGGCAACTAGAGGAAATCGGCGTGTAAGTCACTCATTCTGTAATTGATTAAGACCTGAGACTGTTAGGCTATGGAACATAATAAAAACTATCGTGCAACAGTTACTACCTAGCTAATATTTGAGTAGTAAATAATCAACATCACTGAAATCACATATGAACGTATTGCAAATCACTAAGCGTTGAATCACAGTATTTTTCAAGTTAATTATTAGAAATAATTTCAATTCATAATATAAATGGACCCGATTTAAATATCAAACTATCAGAGACTCCACCTCATTTAGTTTCTTGTCTTCGTTTCTATTAATAAGTGATAATTTCGGAGTGTAAGGAAGCGGATAGTAACTTCTTCCAGCTCATTTTTCCTCAACGATCCTAGGTGTTTGTTATTTGTTTGGTTGTTCTCAATGCTAGTTTATTATTTGTGTGCCTCAGGTTCATTTTTGTTGCCATAAGAACAGAGCCATTTTATAACAATCTTGACCTCTTTGGATATCGACCTCTTTCCCAAGTTCCTGGTTTCATTTATTTCCATCGATTGGAAGATTATTGTTACACTGTTATGTTTAAGTCGTCCAGTCTACCTAATAGTCTGCATAGATCTTATTTTGTAACAGAAGAATCCCAAATTCATTTGTAATTTCGAACAAACTACCTTAAGTTTGTGCTGATGATACTGTTCAGTAGAACAATGAAAGCTCCAGGACCAAACCATCCAGCTAAGAGAACAAAACTCCACCTACAATAAACATAAGCTATTCCGAAATTAAAACACAAACATGACTGAGAACTAAATACATTTGTAAGTGTTTCACATAAGCACCCCTAATATAGACATATAGAAGGAGATGAAGAAAATAAGAAATATATATATACTTGTAATATTCAGCAGCTTTTCTTTGTGCTTTAACTGCATCAGCCGGAAATTCACCAGAATCCGGTAACCATTGTTTCCCCTTAGCTTGATATACACTACCAAGATTGTATAGAGCTCCAGCTTCTGTTCTCTACATAACCAATTATTAACAACAATAACAAAAATTTTGTGAGATATTTATCTCCGATCAATTCTAAAACTTTACTGTTTAACATATGAATTAAAAAGCATCATTAATATCACATAATGATGAGAACTAATTTAAATAAAATTCATTTAATGAAAAATATTTTTCTCTTATGACAATAAAAGAAAAACAGTTTAGGCATTAAGAGAACTAGGTAATCTAAATAATATCCAACTGGTTTTGTGTGATATAATAATCTCAAGTTAATGTAATATCATTAATCTCGATAAGTATTGAATGATTATGAAATATATCCATTGAAACTTTGATTACTTACTAATCACTTAGTATTTGGCTATGTAATTATCTAGCGATTTTTTCATACCAATAATCTATAATTTATGTATTTTCATTAAACCATGTTCATTTTGTCTTTTGTGTAACAAGAAGACGGAGACGACGGTGAATAAGATTATGCGATGAAAATAATCTACATGTTGAACCAAACTCAATAAAACCTCTACAACTAAACTGTAATAGACAGTTCAATAATGAATTACTTCAAGATGATTTCCTGGAGTTCTAATAAAATAGTTGCCATTTCCAGAGTGAAATTTTTAGCGAATTGCATTGGATTATCACCACGTTACATCGTAAAGTTTGGATTGCACTGTTGAACGCCAATCCAGTGGTTCTAATTGTTAAGCGTCCACCATAAGGTTTGAAGATCCTGGGTTCGATCTCGCTATGAAGAAACAATTGTCCAATGTACGCTAGTTGTGAACTCCAACTGAAACTAATCTGTGACGAACATAACCTACGTATGTGGTTAATTGTCAAGTCATTTTGACTGACCTTACTTAAGGGAGTGTTTGTGAATAAAAAAAATCAGTAGATTCAATTTCACTGGCAGTTGTCGCTCGGTAGTCACGTTCTTACGCTTCTCATTATTAGTTGATAAGCGTAATATTCCTTATTCCAGAAAACAAAAGTGTATACATAACAAATTCAAACCTATAAACAAGAATGCTTGTTAACTAAAGACCCATTAGAGTGCCTTTACAGCGTGTTATGAAGAAAATAGTTTGCTAGCAAAAGAAAAGACAATTTCGTGAATACTAATTAGTTGGCATCAGTCAAGATAAAACTCTGAAAAGCACGAAGTATTTGTAATATATCGAAAAAAATGAAACTCATCTAAATGTTTGAATTCACACATCCCTTAGTTCTACATTTTATCAAAGACATTACCATTTAGATATTTTGGAAGAGATTTGCTTCTTGTAAGGCAGATATATTTGCAGTGATTGACTACTGTGTAGTGATAATTTATTTTATTTTTGAGACTTTTATGCTAATCGAATTCTATCGATCAAAAGTATATACATTCGGATCAGAAATTCCGTTTATATATATTACTATTATATCATATTTCAACCGAAGTGAAGTAGTGATTACGCTACGCTGCCTCTAAGGTAGTTAAATAGCATAGAACATGAGAAACAATCACAGTGTTTCTACCCAGATAATTTAGATGTCCATGGTTTTTGTTGTTGACAAATATATATGAAAAAGGGATTGATAATACCCAGTAACCAAGTGCTCAGCTTTGAACCAAACGTTTCATGTCTTGATTCTTGATAATATCCGACAGACAAAACCAAATTACGTGGAATATCGTTTAAACTAATAACTGATTGGTTGAAAGTAGGGTTTAGCTTTAAACCAAAATTAACCAAGACGGCTACTTCACTAAAATCGCGGATTAACATAACTACAATTTAGCAAAGCTTATTTATTTATGCAGAAAGATTATCTTTCAGGTTAAACATCTTTTATAAATACAGAGAAATCGAACGATGTAGCAATTTTTGTAACGTCATTAGAGTTGCCAGTCAAAAGATTTACCTTGTCATTTAACTGTCTAGCAATTGCTAATTCATGTGTGAAACACATTATTGCCTCGTCATATTTGCCCATCATTTGAAGTGTATTACCAAGATTTCCTGTTGCGAATGCTTCACCAATACCATCACCCATTCTTCTATAAGGAAAACAAATTATGGCCGACTGTACACCAATAATAATGGTCTGTATGTACATTATAAAGGTATACAATTTACCTACAAGATGCGAAAACTTTGATAATTACTCCACTTTCTTCATACTTGTAATGAATAGTTCCAGATTTTCTTCAAATTAGAACCATCAACTTATGACAGATAAATGAAGTCAAAAGTGACGAAAGTTGTTGATATTTCGCAATAAAATTAAAAGAATAAAATAAACACCTTAAGTCAGTCAGTTAGCAAACACCTTAAGACACAAATACAAAGTACTAATGTCTGCTCCCATGTCTGGTCATCTGTTAACCATCGTTTCTTGGAACAATACCTGGAGAAAATTTGACAAATATCAGGAATTCGGATGTACATAAGATGTGTGAATTGGTGATCATTTACGAAAATATTTACATCGGTTTATGGACAGAATTTATTGGTTGAAATCTGAAGGTACAAATGGGTTATTCCTATATCGAAAAAGTCCAAAAATGTTTGCGAAATAGATAAAAATCAAACTCCTGGATGCTCGGACAGTATCTCTATACCTCAATGATGTAGTCGATTGAGTGCTACATATAAGATTTTCTTATGAATTATTTATTCATGTGAACTGCACCAAGTTTAGAACATAGTATCTCCTAAATATACCTTCCAAATAAACATGGGATGAAACTTTCATAAAGCTCCATCATGATTTAATGTACAGAACAGTTAGTGTATTGACAATGAATGTTCAATTAACATATTTCCACTTTTAATTCTGATAAAGCTTGTGAAAAAGATCAATAAAACAGTTTCCATATCTTATTGAACCATTATATAATCAGAATTGATGGATTTTCTGACCGTTTTGTATATCAGTACTTTTACGTAAGCTCATGGAAATATCTGTATTTACTGCTTTTTAGATTTGTTTCACTGCCTTGAAGAAAAATCGATGTCTTAAATCCTGACTTAAAATAAACCTTAAAAAAGTTAAAAGCACACGTATATAAAGACCTGTATGACATTTCTGATCTTTATTTAGCTTTCCCCAATTTATTGTTATATTTTGTCAAGAAATGACAAACAGATCAGGTTTATAAAGCTTTACTAATGTGTTTCCATTTTTACAATAACTAAGAATGAATGTGAATACATACGATAAATATTGGTAGATATGTTTTACCTAGCTAGAGCAAGGTTCCAACGATGATATTCCAAGGCTCTGGCGTAATCTTGTTGGTAGAAATAAGCATTGCCTAACTGACAATAAACGACCGATAGACAACTAAGATCATCCGTTCCGATTGCTAGTGCTTTAAGAAAATAAGATATGCCTTTATTCCAATCCCCTTCACGGCAAAATCTCTCACCCTCCATAGCAAGATCCAAACACGGCGTTGGTATTGTCGAATTTGAATATGTCATATTGAAAGTTAACAATTACGTACCTATATTTTTAACAGAAAAAAATGCTGAGTTTTTACCAACAAAAACAGAACAAGAGTTTTGTTATTTTGCACAGAAGTAGAAACAAACAGTATTTTGAGAGACTATGAAAATAGTTAAGGTTAAACATCCAGATGGAAAGCATTCATTTCTAAAGTTCAAGTTAGCATGGCTGCTAAAGGTCAGGGAATTCGATATTTTCACATCATGACGACAGGTGTGATTTACAACCAAATGCGTAATAATACATTATATTGGACTAGTTTTTATAAGGGAAACCACTAATACAGGTAGACGCACGAAAGATAAGACCACAGAAACGGGAAGATTCAAAGAATGCTGACCCTGATGTCGTTTTCTATGAAACGCTTGATAAAAGTGAACTGAATTCTATCAGCGGATCTTTCATGATGGTAGTTTTTTTAAAAGGAGCTGTAGATTTAATTAAATGCCACTACTGTTCACATATATTAGTTTTATGACCCTTTTCAACTTTTACCTCAAAATATCACTTCATTTGCATGACACAATTATTGGTTCCCTAATGTACTAGAATCTTTGAGTAAATAAACAAACAAATAAGAACGATACTTATGACGACTGGATGAAGAACAGTAGGATTCAAAGGGAGATAAACAGTGGACAGATCCACAGTAGTGTAGGCAGTTTTAAGCCATCAAATACATGGTTCACAAAAACTGCTTTCCATTATCTCTGTAAACAAGGACATAAGCACACATTTTGACAGGGCTAAAAAAAATCGCTAGTTACCTTATAAACTTATGTATCATCAATATCGCATAACGAGCCAGAAGGCAACTAAGGTACGAGTTACACAAGAGTCAACATAGTCGGTACAAGTTTATAACGATGTCCGTTGGGGTTTTTTTTGTCTTTTGATATGGCTGGTCAAAAACTATCCTTCTCCCTAAAATCATATAGATCATTCTAATATAAGTGACCTCATAAACTGAATATAACCGTTCTTTCAGGGAAAGATATTCATGTTGTAAAAAGGCGGTCTAGCATATCACCACAAAACGGCTTACAACCCAGTTGTAAATATGAAACATAGAATCTCAGTCATTACTTCTAAAGCGTGGTTGGTGCTTCTTATGACAACTACTAGAAAGCAATTACAAAGATGCAGAAACGAACAGCAAACAATGATACGGCTTGAGACAAACACTTATACGGTAATTAAAATTAATAGATGTCTGTGTCTAACTCGAAAGTACGTTCTCTTGGGTTGCTAACTGTACTGTTAACAGTACATTGACCATAATTGCGACTGACACCGAAATATCTTTAATCACATTCCTGCTTAACGAAAATCAAAACGAACTTGGATGCGTTTAGTATGCCAGAAGGGATTTATAGGTTATGTTATTCCCTCTTTAAAGAGGGAGAAAGAGAGTCAGAATTCTGACTCTAAAGAAGCGTTGCTGACACACTTTTATCTTTAGAACTAGTTTTCACTAGTCTTGGTGCAAACGTCTACATGTGCCGAAGATCTGCGCTAAAAGTAAAAACAATCAAATCGCTATTTCATTCCAAATATACTCGAGGTTTGAAACAATATCAATACAAGGTAACTACGACCTTGAAGGTTCAATTCAGGCACTACTTCATCCTTCAGTAAAATGGACTGTAGGTCACTGGACCTGTGTGAATCATTCGAACTTGTTTCCCAATAGAAATTCAGCTCCTCCTTTAAAATGCTCAGTGATAAAGCTGATACTATCTGTTCGGGTAAGGCGTTCCAGTTATTTACTATACAGTGAGTAAAACGGAACTCTAACTTTATTGGGTAACTGTTTTTGAAGCTTCTTCCTATAGCGTTGGAGATGATTAGTCCTGAAGTGATAAAAAAGATAAGACGTGTTGTTGAGGGTATGGAATGCCAATATAAGGTCACCTCGCGCTGAACGAAAAGTTAAGGGGAAATTGTTCAGACGTTTTAGACGCTCATTGAAATGGAGTTTGGAAAGACCCTTTGCTATGTTTGTCCCTAGACTTTGGACACTCCCTAATGTGTCAGCATCCCCAATAAGAAGTGGACCAGCTTCTTAGATGCAATACTCTAGGTGTGGTCTCATATAGGTTGGGTGTAAAACCCGAAACATGCCCTCGTCAAAGTGTTTGAATGACGAATGAAGTGACCATAACACTTCAAAACCTCAGTTACGGTCTGCAGTTGTTACTTCTAAGTCTTTTCGTACCTGTAAGATTTGAAGCGATGTACGGTTGACAGTATACTGGTAAATATCGCTGTGTCCGGCTTGCATTAGCACACTCTTTCTAGAACCAATTTCTGAGCCCCGACATTAGGATAATCTAGCTAGTTCGTTTAGGCCAGCCCGAAGACCACAATGATCAACCCCACCACCTATTAATAAAACATTTCATCTAAATTTGAATACAGCGTTTTACGGTAGTTGGGCGCCGTGTTAATTTAGGATATTAAGAACGACAGTCATGTTTGTAAAATCCTCTGCGATTGAATTTTAACTTCAACGTTTTGCTTGAAAATCTGGTCCAAGTAATAGATTAAATGGGGTTCAAATGGTTGTGGATGAAATAAAAGTAGCTTTCGCTCAACGGGCTTCCGTGTCTAATAGCAGTGGATCACCAATACCTCCAGGAAAGAACTTAGATATATTAACGATAACAGAAAAAAAAGAAATTGGTAAATCATAGTAAAATATTATCCTTAGTCCTTAAGAATATGTCAAGTTGCCCTTCAAAGGACTCCTTGGAAGTCACTTGAATTAGCTCATCCGGGAATGAATTCCAGCAGTTGACAACTCTTAGGGAATAAAAGTCTTGTCTACAGCTCGTTCTGTTGTGTTGTGTCTATAGTTTCTGGGTGTTACTCTTTAGGTTTGTGTTGGAGCTAAACTTAAGGTGTTTCAGGGGATTTCCATAGGTGTTAAGGATGCTGCAAGCCATTAGAAGGCTACTTCTAAGACGTCTATACTCTAATGGGTACAGGTTTAGTGAATGAAGGCGCTTTCATAGGGCTTAAATTTGAGTCCCTGGACTGATTTCGTGGCTCGCCGATGGACACGCTCCAGAGTTTCCTTATCCTTTTGAAGTGGGGAATGATATACCATGCTTCCTAGACTGTAAATGGGGACGAATGAAATCGCTGAAGATTGTGTGGAAATTTCTACCGTCAAACTAGCCAAAAACGCGCTTCAGTGTTGCCAGTGCAAAGTTTGCTCGAAAGGCATTTTTGTCACAGTTGGCGTAAGACTTCAAATCGTAGAGTACCAGTACTCCTAAGTCATTTTCAACTTCAGGTACTTCTAGAGAGAAGTTTCCTAAGTTGTAATTATAGTCTGCAAAATGTCTGAGATGGACTACTTTACACTTTGAAGTCGAGCCAGATCCTCCTGAAGTGCCAGTAAATCCTCTTGGTTGTGTATCTCTCTCCAAAGTTCCACATCACCAGCAGAAAGTAATAAGTCAGACGGTAACTGTAGGTGACTCCAAATAGACACCTCGAGGTCGTAGACAATCTCACTGAGCATTATACGGACACATCAAGACTGGTAGACTTTTGTGAACTTGATGTACCTCCAGGCAGGATCGTAAGTATAAGGCTACTCTACCCCCAATTCCTGTTCTTCTGTCATTGCGAAACAAAGACTTCCCGCGTATTGCTAGCTCCTGGCCCATAAACTGAAAAGATATCCAAGTTTCAGATATTCCTATCTGATGAGCATTGTGCGGCCAAATCACCAGCTGATTTCGCTACAATACTTGAGATACTCAGGTTCGTAGACGGTGACGCCTGGCTTTTTTCAACTTTGGTAACCGAGGTCCAATCACCTGCGGAGTTTTGGGGAGTCATCGTTGCATTTCGGGGGCCCTGTGCTGTGAGACCCAAGTTTGCTGAAGGAGTCCGTTACTGTTGACGTTATGATGGTTTCGATTTTCAGCATGTCATCACCAGTGTTATTACATGCTCCATAGATAGTAGAGCTGCCGAGATCCCTCTTCTCGTGCTCATTCAAATTTACGTGAATTTTTAATTGTCATGGAACAGTTATTTGTTTTCCGTCCCTCCTATTAATACTGTTTGGATTTCCGGATGTGTAGGGTTCTGGATTTTAGTTTCTCTTGTACAAACTAAAGCCTTTCCGAAGGATATTTGTGCCAGTGATATCAATTGCATGTCCCAACTCTATTGAGTGTAATTCTGTCCCTGATTTGTCTTTTAGTTTTTCCAACTCATATGAGGATTTATGAGTGTGCTTCCAGCAAAGCTTGTGTTCCTTCACCCTCACATGCAATTGTCGTGATGTCTCACCTACATATAAACTATTACAATCACCGCATTTGATCGCATATACACAAATTTATTATTGCTCTATCCCTACTGAATCTTTGATTGTTACCCGTTTAGATCTTACGGTGTTGTTTGTTCGAAATATTACTCTTATATTTTGAAGATTCATGATCCTTTCTATTTCTGTATTTCTTTTACGACAAAGGATCACCACCGCGTTAGCCTATCCTTTTGACTCATTCCCTTTCTTGTATTCTCTGTATTATTTCTCGATTATTCCTTTTATAAAATCCTTGAAATAACTATTCATCATCAATGTTTTGTCACTTGGGCCCATGACGAGATTTTAAACTCTGTTTGTCGGACTTTTGGTAACTGTCACTTTGTAAACTGACTTGTATTCTAGATATTTCACAGGAAATGTTGGCATTTGTGATAAACTGACATTTATGTAATCATTGCGTTTCGTTTCATGTACGTCAACAGGAGTTTTGGTTGACGGAGACACCCTTCGTTTATTGTGGTGGTGACTTGAGGTTTAATTCTCATTTTTCTTTCGCACTTTTGCACTTGATTGGATCCCAATCCGGTTGAATACAAATGTTCGAATTCCGGGTTCTGTACGCGTAATTTATCATAACGTCTTTAAACACTTCTGAATACTATCATCGAGATCCTTTTTTCTGGGGTCTCACTTTCAACCTACTTAGCAAGTCTTGTCAACTTAGTAATATGTGCTCCTAAAACGTTTACTAGTTGTGCATTTCTAACGGCAGACTCCACTTACTCCAGATTATGTACATGCATTTCAATGGAGTATTTTCATTCTGAATCCTCTAGATTCCAAATAATTAGACCTTTAGGATCGTTTTCACGGATGTCTCCCTAACATTGACTACTGGAGGCTGTTCTTCCGTTGTCCATCAGTTTTTTTTACTTTCGGACAAAATCCGTTATTTTAAACATCCAACTTTTCTCGTGAAAGAGTTTTGTTTTCTGCAGATTGCATCGTTGGATTTACCCTATCAGCAGTGCTTGAAGCAAATACACATCCTATGAGTGATAGATTTTTGTCCAGACAGTGCGGGACGTATTACAATTACGTGTAAAAACGGTTGTGGTGTACTAATGGTTTGAGTCCCAGTCTTTCGATCAAGTACAAGAACCAAGCTAACGGCACTAGTGACCACACTTATTGTATCTTGTTTGTCTGAGGTCAGATTTACTGAGTGGTCATCATCGCACATCAGCTTCTTCAGAAGGGGAAGCTCCAGGACTTCATGCAGGAAAACTGCTTTTGTAAGGCATTGTTCTTTACGTAACTGTGGTGAAGCCTGTTTACAACAGGGTTTGCACTCCACCATCGATAGATTGTTATACATTTTTGGAAGCCACCTCTTGCACCTGTCTTACTGCTTATCATATTCAGCAAGGAAGAGGTACATTAGTCGACTGCATCAGTGACTATGAATGATCACTATAACCAGTGCGACGTGAATATTGTGAAAAACGCTCAAACAGCTAGTCGTGTAAGATTAAAAGTTATAACGCCACTATAAAACTATCACTTTTGGGATTAAAGGCGTAAAACAAAGTTTGGGGGTCAGTGAGTATCACAAAATCTCTACCTTGAAATAAATGTTTAAATTGTTTAACCATTAAGTAAATGGCCAACAGTTCTCTATTGAAATTATTGTATAGCGTTTGTGTTGGTACTAGTTTCTTTGGAAAAAAGAACGCGGACTGATCTCATGATTTACTCGTTGTTGTAGCACTACGTCTACTACTACCTGAGATTTGTCTGTAAACAAAATTAGTTTCCCCCCGCCGGTCAGGACTTAAGTGGGTCAGCATGGGGAAGCAAATGGTTTCTGTTTTAGCCTTACAAGAAGCATCTTCTGTTACGGGATATAACGTTGTATAAATGCTGGACAGTGTGGAATTATTTGACGATGATTGCAACGGGAAGAGAACGCTGACCATCCCTCCACAGCGTTTTTTGTTGGACAGTACTATCATTTATTTGTTTCTTCTCCCTATCGTATATCATAAACTCGTTTAAACACACCTTTTGTTCTTCAGTCTTCCTCGTCTGAGCCTTTATTATGTGATTTTGACCAAAGACTTATATTTTTGTTACCTAATTTTCTATTGCATGTTGCCGGACTATTGACAGTATGGTCGTGTTTGACTAAACTCAAGGTCACGGCGCAGTTCAGTGTGTGACTGTTAATTTTTTGACTGTCTAGTTGGGAGGATTGTTGGAACCCCTGCAGACAGATATTCGATCCTGTCTTGTTGAGAAGTGTTTTTGTTGATTCTCAGGT